TCGGCCAAAAGCCCATTATGGTGTATACCTTTTCTGTCAACTTCCCAACGGTTGAAAAATAAAGAAAAAATTTGGATTTAAATTTTCGAGAATCTTCTCTTCCTGTAGTTTAGTTATATTATTACATTCCGAGCAATTGTGTGGTTTGAATAAATGTGGAGGAGAAGAGAGAGAATCATTTTCCTCTTCTATTCATACTATAATCATCATCCCAAATCTCTTTCCTCCTTTTTCTTGAAATTTGTCAATTTCTCCAATCTAGAATTTTGTAAAATCCATGGATCAAAAGCCTCTCGGATTACTTATAATTCACATCAAAAGAGGTATTAATCTCGCCATACGCGACCATAGAAGCAGCGATCCTTATATTGTTATCACCGTCGCCGATCAGGTTCCTTTCCTTCCCTTACTTAAATGCCCCAGATCAAGAAAGGAATGAACATACCTTATAAATCATTTATATTATTCTATGTTGTAATACAAAAAAAAACAAATATGAAATCTTCAGACATAATTGTTAAAAACAAAAGGAAATCTTCAGACATTGAAGACACGTGTGGTGAAGAGAAACTGCAATCCAGTATGGAATGAAGAAATGACCGTTGCAATCAAAGATCCCAATGTCCCTATCCGCTTGGTAAACCTGACAAAACATAACTCTTGAGATCTTTCTTACATATTATTGATTCAGACAAAACATACAGTTTCTTATGTTTCTCTGTTCACGCATTTAAAACATGTTTTTTATTGAATTTTGTTCAGGCAGTGTTTGACTGGGACAAGTTCACTGGAGATGACAAAATGGGAGATGCTAATGTAGACATTCAACCCTACTTAGACGCTCTGAAAATGGGGATGGAGCTTTTGAGGCTCCCTAATGGATGCGCTATCAAAAGAGTTCAGCCATCAAGGGAAAACTGTTTATCAGATGAAAGTAGCATTGTGTGGAACAATGGTAAGATCACTCAAGACATGATCCTTAGGCTCAACAATGTCGAATGCGGTGAGATTGAGATCATGCTTGAATGGCATGAAGGTGGTGGTTGCTGAGGTGTGACTACCTCTGTTGCCAAAGGAGGAGGCTCTTCCTCTACCTAAGAAATGTTTTTCCCATGTTGTGTGTCGTATACGGTATACCCGAGGAATGCTCTCTTGTTTTTCAATATGTAGAAGAGAGATCAAGCATGTTTTCTTTGGTGACCCATTTCACTTAATGAGAGATTTTGAGATCGAACTTTTGTATTTGGATATCTGGGATTGTTGTTTTTGAACTTTTAGTTTTGTTTGCAGTTTGCATTCTGTTTGTTTAAAGGTGTTCTTTAAAGGGAAAATGGTTGTAAACACTTGCAATTTCTATAATTTCTTAAATAATACCTCAAAGTCAAAAGTTATTAGAATAATATTATTCCCTAAAACATTGGATTACACAAATAATATTCATATTTGGAAAAGTGACCAATTTGATCCCGAAACAATTTTCTCTTAACTTTCTTAAAATTATGCTTCAAACGTTGAACTAAATAATCCAGTAATATTAAATTTAAAATAAACATGATCGAATCCATTTAATTAAATCAATTGACATAAATAATTTAAATTTACTCTAAAAAGAAAGAAAAGAGAAAACCCTATATGGCAATACTTTAAGTACATAAATTTGAGAAAACTTCATTAGGTATATATGAGAAATGGTTTCAACTTGATAAAGAAAATCTGGAAAATATGTTTGAGTCAAATAACTAAAATCAAACTAAAGAAATAATTTAAGTTTACACCGAAAAGAAAAGAAAAGAAAAGAAAAGAGAAAACTCTAAATGACCACACTTTAAGTTCATAGATTTGAGCAACCTTCATCAGGTATATATGAGGAAGGGTACCAGCGAGGAACACCAGTGATTGGAGAGCCGTCGATATGAATATGTGAGGAGCTAGGCGGCCGGAGAGATGAGAGAAAGTTTAGGGTTACCGGTGATATGGGGTGGATAATTTTTTTAAAAAAATAATAATCATAATCCAGTTAAATTGAATTTAAAATAAACTTGATCGAACAATATACTAAAACTAAATTAAAAATAACTCAAATTTATCTAAATAAAGAAAAACCCAAAATAGCAAAGCTTTAAGTTCATAAGTTTGGAAACAACTTTATCTATACTATTATTTGCGAAGTGATTTTTCGCAACGGAGCTCCCACGTTAAAAGTTAGAGCGGTTAATATCGTTTATACCCTTAATGAATAAATTATATGAATTAATTAAATATAAAACGAATTAAAATTTATTTAATTAGATAAGTTATTTTAAATAATAAGAATAAAAGTTATCCAAAATCCAAAAATATATTTTATTTTTAAAAGATAATTCCTATATATATTGTATTGTTATCCGAAAACTCTCTTTTGATAAAATATTTAAAAAAATAATTAATTAAAATTCTTAATTTTATATAATTGAAAAGATAGTATTGAATAATTTTTAAGATAAATAAAAAAATCAAAATGAAACCACAAATAATAATTTATGCTTCTAATTTTTATTATTAATATATTTACTAACAAATAATTATAAAAGGGTTAAGCCCGCATGGCGGGCAAAATACCTAGTTAGGTATAGATGAGGAATGGTTTCAACTTGATAAAATCTGAAAAAAATATCAGTGACAAGAGATTTTAGTAAATTGATATATCAAGTTTATTTTGAATTTAATTTGATTTGGTTGTTTATTGAGGTACATTGTCGTCGTTTTATTAAAAAAAATAATAATAAAAAGTAAGAAAAATGTTTTGGAATCAAATTGATACTTTTAAAATTATGAATATTTTCTACAGAATAATTTTATTTTATTTGAGGCATAAAATGATTTTAAGACTTTTGTGATATTGTTGCAAAATCTTAAAACAGAAAAGTTTTTATTTCCTTTTCTTTAAATGATATAATTGCAGAAGGGTCACAATTTTCAATCTCTTTTACTTTTCTTTTACTTTACCAAATGTATTTTTGAACGATTCCTTAACACTAATAATTATTCGACTTAGGCCTCGATTGGTACATCAGATGATAAATCAATACCAATATACTGCAGAAGCTAATTTCATTAAAGTTTTTATAAAGTGATGGTAGAGCATTAGCAATACAATTTTAAAATTAACAATAGAGTAAGTATGATAATATATTTATTATAAAATAATATTTATAATATATATTAATAAATATTTGATGTTAAAATAATAAATTTTATTCATTATATAAATTATATTATAGTTTGTATGTGAAATATTATATTATTTTGGATATAAATATAATTTTAATATTATTAAATAAATAAATAATATATATTTATATATATTATAATTATTTATTTATTAATAGAGTAGTAAATGATTGATATATAAAATTATAATAAAAATTAATATATGTTATATAATTTATTTATTAGTGTCTAAATAATATACATATGTTTTATATCTATAATATATATTAGGTTATGTTTGTTATTAAAAATAATGAATGATATGCGTAATTATATAAATTATATTATATTTTAAATATGAAATATTTTTCTTTAAAAAGTTAGGAATATTAATTGGATTTTTCTAAAAAAATATAAATTTCTTTTTTATTATAGTTTTGTATTATTGTTAAATAAAAATATATTAGTTATATATAATTATTTTTTAGAAAAGTATATGTTCAAACTGCAAATACTCTAAAAAAAACTCCATAGAGAGTATTTGATTATTGAACAAAAAGCATTTGAAGTGCATTAACATTTGATAAATACTTTTCTAAATGTTTCTTTGCTAAATGTTGATTAGATGATAAATAATATAATGTTTGCCAATCAAACCCTTAATCTTAGCGTATTTTAAATATTTTATTATTCGCCACCAGCCGAAAATTTATTATGAAATTATATTGTTTTATCGGATAAAACAAACAAAATTTTACCAAAAAATGGATTACATTGTCCTAACACATTTCTGTTCAAAAACGCAGCGCCTAGGGCCATCTACTCGCCGGAAAATGCTCGTCGGCCTCCGGCCACCGCGATTCGGTTCTAATCGGACAAAAACTCGGTGTTCTTTAAAAACTCAAGATTTTATTCATTTTCACATGAAAATCGAAGGTTCCCTAGAAGATCTATCAATTTTAGTTAGAAATACAGAAGAAAGTGGAAGATAACAATGAAAAAAACGAAAAAAAGTGAGGCGGCCATTGTTAGGGTTTAGATCAAGTACATGAAGGAGAAGATGATTTTGAAATGTCTATTGTACCCTTCATTAACGTTTTAATGTTAAAAGCCAAAATATTGACACTGCCAATGCCCGAATCTGGGCTCTTTATAAGATAAAACGTGCGCTAACCACTGAACTATCACGAATCTTTTGTACATTCTTAAAGTAAATATTTATATATATGTATAATAACTATATAAAAGGCTAAAATTATATCCTGATTAATTCCTGATTAATTTCCGATTTTTTTGCTATGCGCTAGGCTCAACCCGACCATCCGACTAGCTCCAAGCGTAATTTTTTGAACAGAGAACGTATTTATGGGATCTCTGGTAGAATAATTGGCCTCTCAGATAATAATAATACAAAAATCAATAGCATTTGGTAGTGATTTCCTTGTCAGACTCGTATCTGCATGGCCATTGCGGTCCACAATTTGTTGTGCCTCAAAAACTGAAAAAGTACTAAAACTTTAAATTTATTTCAGGGCGGATTTGACTGGCTTGACAGAACTAAACACACCTCAATAATGCTGTGCATACAAACACAAAACATGTGCTCTACTGTTGAGCATTGAAAAACTGATCGTCATCAGCAGTAAGCTCTTCAGATGAACTTCATAAAAACTAAAAAACAATCTTCATAATCATTTTGGTATATATATGCTTACAAATTATAATTCATTTGTATATAATGATTCATAAAGCATGACACTTTAGCAGTTGATACTTTATTTACTAGATCTTTCCATTTGCTTAACTATAAATTGGCTAAACGCACTAAAGAATTAGTATATACGCAAACAACATATAATATATACTTGTTTGGTTCTTTCTACATGCATCGATGAGGACTAAATAGACATATAAGTGGACATACATGCGACCTTGCCCTTAATAACCATAGTTCACAAATTGAAAGCATATTACAAACAGTAGACAGTAGTTTATGATACCATACATGAGTCTCCTTATTTATTACATTGATTTCGACAGATAAACGACACATACACAAACACGAAGGGAGCCATATATGGCGATGATGGTTCGAAAGATAGGGGTGGCTGGGATTTATTTAAGCTTTGACGACATGGTTGTCCATATCAGCAACCATGCTTTTGACAAATTTCATGTAGTTGATGGGCTCAGGAGAGTCATCGGTTCGCTTCTCCCAGATCATAGTGATCTTGCAGATGATATCATTAGGCGACTTTTGAATGAACTGAAGGATGACGTCATACACCTTAAGAGTCTCCATCACATGACCTTCAAGACCTCTAAAAATGACTGAATTATTCTCATCATCTATTTCTCTCCTCTCCTTAAACACCTCCGGTTTCCCATCTGTACACACATCAGTTTTTATATATGTTTGGATAAATGTGTTCATCGATTTTTTTTCATAATTTCTAATTATGATTATATTCGACGCGAGACCGGTTCTAATGTTCGTGGGGCTAAAACAATCACTAAATAATCAATACTTATATTTGACTTAATCATTATTTACTGACGGAATGTATATATAGGTGACCATAGCCCATAGATGAATGTTTAATTTCATCACTATGCTCCCGACGCGAGAAAAAGAAACATACGGATAGGAATTCAACCATAAAATTGATTATTAATTATACACGTTTTTACAACTAAGAATACGTGGTTATTCAATAGACTAGGGTTATTAGCTCGTTTGAGTATCGTTCGGGGTATCCCTCGTTCCATTAAAAGAAACCTGCAAATCTACTTCTAAATGTCTATTATAAATTAAATTGCTTAGTTCATATAGACTATCGTTATAACAAGCAATACTATTACTAAAATCCCTAGTTTTAAGTCGTTGATTATAATCAATATGTTAAGTGTATTGTTAATTATACCGCATGTGTAGTTCCAAATCTTGATGGCTCCATGAGAGTCCCATTCACCGTCGTGGATGGTGACACCTTGGATGTGGTGGCCAATGGCGTCGGGAAAGACGTGGTTCTCATTTCTCCATCGCTTGTAGTGTTTCTCCGCCGATCCTTTCAACGGAACCTCAGTCACATATGTTCCCGACGTTGCCATCTCTCTCTTTATTGTGTTATGAGTAAAATGTGTGTGTGTTTTTGGTTTGTTTCTGTGACTGATGATGATTCCCCTTGTGGTCTTCTTCTTTATATAGAGATATAGTTGCAACATTATTTTTAATTAAACTTTGTTTTTTTTTTTTGCCAAGGTCCCTCTCATCTTCCATTATTACTCTATAATCTTTTGATCGAAATTATCACAATATAATTTGGTGTTAGGAAAAAAAAACACATATCAGCTACAACGACTATAAATTTAGAATAGCAGTATTGTGAGCAAGTATAACTAATGTTAATTTGTAACATGTCGTAATTCACGTTTATCAGGTTCTTATCATAGAAAATATAAATGCATCGTCATCAATATATATAAAGGTTATTTAACCTTAGAGTGCTTGTTTTTAATTCTATTTGAATATTTGGTTTTCATTACATGCCTAGAAAATCATTAGTCAAACTTAAAACAATAATGCAAAAAAACATATCTTCGTGAAGCAGGTAACAATCACTGTCGACTTTCTAGAAACTTTAAAATAAGTAAATGTAAGAGCATAGTTTCTAATAAAGTATCACAAATTAAAGATGATAAAAATAAATGAAAAACAATTTTTTTTTACTCAAACACATGAGAAGCCAAACAAATGTAAGAGGATAGTTTCTATTCACGTTTTATTTCCCAACTAATAGTTGATCGCATGAATTTAATAACAAAATAGTCAATTGTTAACTGATGGACGGAAACATAACAGGTTCCATTAATTTTTTAACGGTTTACTATTATTATCATAATGTTTCGCAGTTAATGATTAGTTGGAGATAAATATGTGCAAATAATATTTGAGTATTTAATTTGTCGATTAAAAATACTTGAAGAATTAAAAACATCAATATCTTTTTTTTTTAAATTACAATTTAAAAATTCTCAAGTTAGATATAACTAATATACAAGATTTCACCTTTTAAAGGAGATTTTTGAGTTCTTAGAATAAAATATAAAATAACACAAATAATCATAGTTGCATCGTATTGTTAATGTAGTTCATGTTTATAAAATCACACATGGATGATTTTATATCGCTAGGCAATCATAAGTGTAACGCCATCCATCCTTCATAAGACTATACATACATCCCAAGAACAAGCATAATAAAGGTTCAGACAAACCATCAACCTGGATACTTCATAGACATGGTCAAGAGATAAATTTTTACAATATATAGTTATATTTATTTTAGACTCAATGCAGATGTAATTATTTTATATTATTTTATATGCTTTTGTAAAAATTCAAAAATTATTTTCCGAGATTGATATTAAATATTGTGTATATTTGTTTAAATTAAGAATATTTTTAGTTAGGAGTTATTGTAAAAACCATCTACAGTGATTTCTATAAACATGAACTACATTAACAATACGATGCAAATATAATAATTTGTATTGTTTTATATATCATTCTAAAATATTCAAAAAATCTCATTCAAAAAGTAAAATCCCGTATATTGGTTATATATATAACTTGAGATTTTTTAAATGATAATTCTTTAAAAAAATATAATGATGATTTTAATTCCTCAAATATTTTCAAGTTGTAAATTAAATTTTCAAATATTATATGTGCATATTTATTCCTCAACTAATCACAAACAGCTTAAAAGTATGATAATAATACTAAACCGTTAAAAATTTGACAAAACCCGTTATATTTTCGTCCATCAATTAACGATTGGCTATATCTTTCCTATTTTTATGCGGTCAACTATTAGTTAGAAAATAATTCTTCACGAACAATATTTAAATATCAAAACCGACGATTTCAAATACTTTAGGAATAAAATGATCATTTCCCCATAGTTAACAAGTATTTCATCATTTGGATTAACAAAATCATATTTTTGCTTAATTTATTTTCTACTTAGACTAACACTATTATATTAAGAAAGAACAAAACTTAAGTTCACCCCCTATGATAAATCTTTAAATTTACCTCTCCTTCTAAAACCAATCAAATTGCCACATAAATAACTAATTAAAATATATTTAATTCATTTAAAAATAACTAAAAAACCAGAATAATGCCAATTTTAACAATGCTGACGCCGCTAGCTAAACCGTAAACCCTAAATTTTAAATTCTAAACCCTAAACCATAAATTCTAAATCCAAATCCTAAATACTAAACCCAAATCCTAGACCCCAAACCCAAATTGTATACCCTAAACCCAAATCCTAGACTTAAAACCCAAAAAGTAAACCCTAAACCCAAACCCTAAACCTAGACACTATTGGATTTGGGTTTAGGGTCTAAGATTTAGGTTTAGGGTCCATAGAAGTCGTCTCTAAAAACACATATAAAAGCTAATTACAGGCAGGGCAGGGCTCTCTATCTAAGAATTTCACTCTTTCATCATCATCTTCTTCAAGTATTTACAATATTGTCATTTTCATCAATACACCAACCACCATGAACAACCAATTTGAATCTCTTTAATGCACCTAAAATAGATTTACACTCCTTTTCTATCTCATTTCATATGAACTAAAACAGCATCTATTTAACTTTCTCTCTATATTCATCCAAAAAACCCCAAGATTTTGATTCTAAATTTTTTATGGTTCGTAGAGCCATTCAAGCTTACGATTCTTGGTGGGTCGTTTTGTTTAAGCTTTTGTGTGTTTGGAGAAGATTTTTGTGTGCTAAACAAGTTATCTTACTGGTTGAAGCTATGAACTCAATATCTTTTTCCAGATCTGTCAGTTAGAAGACTTCGTGTAAGTCTTCTAGTAGTAGAAGACTTATGTGTCTTCTTGTCAATGCAGAGGTCAGTTTTGTAATTAGCTTTTATATGTGTTTTTAGAGACGACTTCTATGGAAGTCTTCCACTTTTCTTTGTTAACAAAAAAATCTCGAAAATACCAGAGAAAACCTCCCGGTAAGTCGCCTAGGATAAACAAGTTAATTCTGCATTCGTCCAGTAGAAAATAATACTTCAATATTTAATAATAATTAGAATAGTTCCATGTAAGTAGTTTCATGTTAGTTTTGCAACTGAAAATAAAACTTATTTAATTTTATCCAGACAACTTAAACGGAAGTCTTCTCAAGAACGACTTACATTGAAGTCGTCCATGATTTTATTCTGAGATTATGGTCAAATCTTGGTTATTACCGAAGACTTCCATGTAAGTCGACTGCTAGAAGACTTCCATGTAAGTCGTCTGCCAGAAGATTTCCATCTAAGTCGTCTGCCAGAAGACTTCCGTGTAAGTCGTCTAAATAAAATTAAATATTTACGTTTTATATTTCAAATGCAAAAGTAACCTGAAACGACTTACATGGAAGTCGTCTAACTAAAATTAAAAATTGAATTTTTAAGTTTAACTATAATTAAAAATTGAATTTCTATTTTTTTGCTGGACGATTCCTTGTAAGTCGTGTGGTAAAAGTTAAATTTCTGACACATTACGGTCAAATGGAAAACTAGCTTATTTATCCTAGACGACTTACCGGGAATTCTTCTCTAATAATTTTGAGATTTTTTGTTAACAAAAATAAGCCAGTATTTACAAAGAAAGACTCCCAAAGAAGTATGCTGTAGAGTAGGCTTCTCTGGAAATCCTCCTTTTTAAAATTTCAATTGGAAAAAAGATCTAAATGGATGACCTTCTATAAGTCTGTGAGATGACTTTCTTGGAAATCATCTATGTTAATGTTTAATAAACTTTCATTTTCTCTATAACTGTAAAGACTTTTTTAACATTTTCTTTTTAATTCATGTATTTTACTCAATATTAGGACTAATTAATGAAATTAATAACTTAATTTTTGATATTTATGATGTTACCAACATTCATGTTTATTAAAAAATTTATCTAATTCTAGAAAACTTATGTGGAAGTCTTCTACATTACTTTTTTAGAATTTGTTAAATAGCTTCAAGATATGTTTTTATTTTAATTTTCAAAAGTGTTGAGTAACTTCAACTCATGTGATTTCGTTTATCTTCTTTGATCAATTCATATGGTTTAATGTTTATTCTTTGATTATAAGATATACTTTTTAACTTTCATGAAATTTTAAATTTCCAATTTTCAAAAAAAAAAAAAAAAATTTCACTTAAAATTTTGAGTTTCTCGCTTAAATTTTAATTTCTTGCTTTAAATTTAAGTCTTCCCAGAATAATTTTAGTGAAAGTATTCTATCTTTGAACTTATGTAATGTTTGATATTTTGTGAATTTGACTAATTTTTCTCTAGAAATCTTCTCCTTTAACTGTAATAAATTTGATTATTTTTGTGTGTTTTCAAGTTGTATCAATAACTTCAACAATGTCAAGTAATTTTGGCAAGATAATATTCTGGACAATAAAAATATTTACCATATTTTTACATTAATACAACTTCAAATTTACAAAAAAAAATCATAACTAAAGAGTACACGACAACAAACAAAACTATTACAGATCATTCTTCCACAAAGACAAGCTTGTACTCCACTTGATAATGTGTTAGAATTCTACTAACGCATTATATGTTAGAAGAATTCCAAGAAGACTTCCCATAAGTCTTCCAAAGCCTGACTCAGATTTGAAAAACCTGCAAAACCAAAATGTTCAAATGGCTTTAAAAAGAGAAAATAAGCGGCAGATGAGATAATTCTACCTTAAAGAACACAAATATACATATATAAAAAAAAAGGGAAATATTTTTTTTAGACTAAAACCATTAGGACATTGTCCCTTTAGGCTAATATCATTTACTTATTGTCCTATTAGACTAAATATTTTCTAAATGGCAATACTGCCCTTAAAATTAATTTATTAATTTGTAATCATAATTAGAAAGTAATTATTATCTATTTTAGATTTAATTAAAAACTAATTTTAAAAAAATAAAAATCCTCAAACTAATTCAAAATTAGTTTTTCCTTTTTTTAAAAAAAAATAGAATTTAAAAAATATGTAAACTGGATATTTCCAAATATTTTCTCCTATATTTTTGGATCTGATTATTTTTATCCGTAGAATACATATTCTACTAAAGGTAGAACTCAGTAAGAACG